TTACAGTAGTTCATACACACTTTGCTTTGGGATAGCTTGGTCTTACAGTAGTTCATCCATACTTTAGATGCAGCAAGTCGGCTGGATCATTTCAGAACCCATGTTATCAGAAGAGAACCCCCTCCTCCCCATTGCTGTGAATCACCAGTCAAGTATCTCAACAGAAATTCGAGACACCCTCCCAAATTACGTTATGCTGCTTTAAAAAAAAAAAAAGGAGTGAGAGAGTGTGCGTGAATATCAAAATAAGAAACCAAACCTACTGTAGACGGGGTGAGTCTAACTCATAGGGAGCCTGGTATGGCACTACAAGCTAATCACTGGACCCCAAAGTCGGTTTGAACCACAAGACCTGCAGTTCAAACCTACCAGTCGTTCCTCAGAAACCCTGTACAGGATCACTATGAGTCGGCACCTACTCAAAGGTACTTAACAACAACATAGGGATGTTATAGGACTTCTGAGTCTGTAAATTTTTATCTTTCTCTCAGAGAGCAGCTGATGGATTTGAACTGCTGATCTTGCTGTTAGCTGTCCAGTGCTTATCCTATGGCAACACCAGGGCAGACATTTGTAAAAATGGTTCTGGTATATTTGAGGGTTTTTATCCTGCTAAGAGTACATGTGAAAGGGAATATTTCCTCCCTTCTTAAAAAGCAGATCAGTGTTGAAAATATATATACAGGCACCGCCAGCGGGTTTTCACAGGTGAACTACAGAGATGAGGACTTTGCCGATGAATGCGTACACACCAGGAAGGTAGGGTCCTTGCTGTGGACAGGTACGGGGGAGTTTCCAGGGAGGGATCCGTCACAACAGACGCACCACCCGCAGGAAACAGGAAAAATCACGCAGAAAACACCAGTGGTCTGAAACAGCAGTGCATCCACTCAGCTTCCAGGCTTTCGGGCTTCACTGACCCTGCGTCTCTAAACGTCACTTCGTGTCATCGCTGACCACACAAGAAAAGGGAATGAGATGGACTTGCTCTGCTGAGTCCCACCTGGGCTCTAAATCCACATCCTCTAGTGCCCAGAGCTCCAAAGTGGCTCCATTGGAGACTCCCTGTCCAGTCTCCACCAGGTCACTTCCTCAAGTAAGCCCAAGCTTTCCAAGTCTTGAAACCCAAACACCACTGACGATGCTCCAGGGAAGTCTCAGACCATATTTCATTTTTCCTCTCTTTCCCTGGGAGGAGCCGGGGAATTCTGCGGCTGAAGAGCTGTTAGTATCTATTTTACAAGATTTACTCATTTTCATTCATTTTCAGGTACCTAATGTAGCTGCTAGCATGCATGCACAACAATACAATTTATATGGTAAATGGAACCCAATAATGGCTTCACTGAATGTTATGGCTGCACTGGAGGGGAATGTCACGGTAAATAGCTGCCAAATTATGGCTCATGCTGGAGTGTCACACAACTGCACGAAAGACAAATAGCACCAGAGGCTATTGCCGCAGCGACGCTCCTGAGTTATGAAGAGGAGTCGCTGGCCGACGGGAGGCTCTTTGTGCCCTCATTGTAGTCGAGGGCTACTGGTACGGCAGGCGGGCGGAGAGCACACTCGGCCAGTGCAGGGCCGGTTATTAATCTGTCCCTTCCAGACCTCACAGCTGTAGTAACATGGAAAGAGGTTTGGCCTGGCTCTCCCCTGCGCAAACAAACAAAGGGGGAGAAAACAGGTTTTATGAATGTAATCTTGCACGGGAAATGACTGGCAGTGGGTAAGGGCCATAATCAAATAATCCAATCAAAGGGTATTATTAAATCCAACACAGGCAATGTGTGAATGGTACCGTTGCTTCCTCTGAAAATAGGTGTGTGGAAGCTCAGTAAGCATGTGCTTTCTGCCCACGTGCCCACACCAGCAGTAAGGAGGTGATGGACAAAACTGCTGCTTGTAAACTGAAGTGAGTCCGATTTCTCTCATTTTAATGGGAGGCTGAAAAAGATGAAAGACTAACGTTTTAATTCCCTTAAACTATGGAGCAGAAATGGACTATTATGTTTTCAGGGATGGTATGGAATTCAACTCTTTTAAAAAAAAAAAAAAAAAATCCAGACACTCAGGTTTAAAATAAAATATAATCTGAAAGCCGTATGTTCTTTTATTCTCCAAACTCAGGAACCTACGTCGCAGGCTGTTTTCATTTATTCATAGAAAACAAGCCTGAAAGATTCCACCCATTCAGATAATGCCAAAAATATGTTTAAACACCCTCACTCTCCCCCCTCCCCTGTTTTTCCTCTTAAATCCTTTTGAAAAATGATTTGTAAATTACGGGTCAGAGGTCAGCATCAGTTTCACTCTTTGGGGATTTCTGTTCAGCCCGCCACTAATGGAAGGTGAAGTGGTGTGAGGGTCGTTGTTGCTCTTCTGAACCGTGGTCCATACTCCGACGCGGACCATCCATAATTTAGGGCCATTGTCAGTCTTTGTTTTAGAAAAGTGGCCAGACCTGCACAATCACGACGGATAAATTATCTCTCTGTCCTCGCCATGGTCTTCTCCACACGCCAGCCTTAAGGTCACTGGCGGGGCACAGCACGGGCTGGCTATCTTGGCCCACAGGGAAATGAAGGCGTCCCAGTGATTACTTACAATTAGGTTGTGACTTGTAGAACGTAAAATACGATTCCTTCACATTCATCTCACATGTAAAAAATAACCCACTAAGCCAATGTCACTTAGGGTCCCTTTGATGATGTCTACTGCTGCTGACTGATGGCCAACATTTAAAAAATTAGAAAAAACAAAAACCAGGAAGTGGTTCGCACTGAGACACACCAAGTTTCACACAGTGTATTCAATGGACAGTGCTTGCATAATTCCTTCTGAGCAAGGTTTCTCAGGAGTCGAATAGGGCATTAGGATTGCATTCTGTATTTATCTCCTGCAAAGTATGTAGACATGTAGCTGCTGCTTATTAAAATGAAAATGCTGCATTATGTACTCCAGGAACATTCCAGCTAACGAGGGTGGAACGGCCCCAGCACAACACAGACCTTTTTGTGTTTCAGCTATCACACGATGCTGAAAATGCAACAAATTATGTCGTTTAAGAAAGATTCCGGCTTTAGGGATCTCTTTTTGGGCTTCTTGTACAGGGCATATATTTGGGAAACATTCGTAACAGCCGCTGTACCTGAGATGTTTTTGAGTTCTCGATTAGCGTGAATTAACAACCTTGGGATTTCCTTTAAAATAGAGCAGGGAGGTTTATAAAGCACTGAAAAATTATTTTCTTGATCAAGTTACCCTATGTGCATGTGGACTAAATACCATATTTTAGATGTATATAAAAACAAATAATGTGAAATTTCAGGATACGTAAGATTTGCAAATGAAAGACCAGCATGACCCACTTTGGTTAGTCATCCCCTAAGGGTTATGTTACAAGTGTCTCCAACGCAACCCAGTTTAAGACAGTGGCCCAGTGTGATGAATTCATACTTACTGTTTGTTCTCTATGCTTCCCACTCTTTTGATTTAGTGAGTATTTTAGTCTCTGTTATTTATAGTACTTATTATTTAGCAACACAAAATTTATCTATGCAAATGTCATTAGCTAATTTTTGTTTTGTTTCTTGGGAGTTATTTTTTTTTTTTTGTTGTTTTTAAATTTAGATTTCTCTAACTAGTTTCCTAGTTACAGCCCAGAATGAAATATTTAGAGTCAGACATCAGAAGTCACAGTGCACACTCTGATTCTGGATGCTGTCTCAGGATCTGATCATCTGAAAGTTTGAATTTGATCTTTACTAGACCTTCAATAGCATGTTATTTCAACAAGGAGGAATGTTTGATATGAGAATCCTAATGCTATTACCATGGGAAACGTAGGGAACAACCGCTAAAAAATAATTAGAAGGCTATCCAGTTGTCATTGTTAAATGCCATCAGTTGGTTCTGACTCATAACCACCCTGTGTAGTTTCCAAAGAGCAACTGGAGGGTTTGAACTGCCGACTTTGCCTTTTAAACTGACTGCAGTCCAGTGTTTATCCCACAGTGCCACACACACACACATGTTGTTAAATGCCATCGAAACAGTTCTGGCCCATAGTGACCCTGTATAGGGTTTCCGAGGAGCGGCTGGTGAGCTTGAACCACCGACCTTGCACTTCAAACTGTCTTTGCAGTCTGGCACATTAACCCACAGCACATATTACCAACATTACTCAATCCAAGGGAGCATGGTGGCTCTGTAGGGAAGCACTGTAATGTTTACTACAAGATCAGTGGTTTAAATCCAACAGCTGTTTCATGGGAGAGAGAGGGGGCTTTCTGTTCCCACAAAGATTTACAGCTTCAGAAATCCTATACGGGGTCAATTTGAGTAAGAACCAACTTAAGGG